TTGGGGCGGAGAATCGTAAATCGACACGAACGCCGCTGTTGTTTCTTGTGCATGCGACGAAGTAATGTCGAGAAGCAGTATTCGCAGCACAGATGCCTGCCGTACAAACGTCTTGCGGCTCCATTTGTCGGCCAATGTTGGTTACTGATCGTAATCTACTTATCTGGCAATTTCGTTCAAAATTCATTAAACAAAATGAGCGAAATATGGGCAAAATAATTCTGAATGGGTAATATTGCGAAAGTGATAGGGACTAAGTTAGAAAAAGGGTATTCGATTCTAGCAGAATCGAATTCAAGAGAACGGAGGAGACGAGGGAGAGGGGAACCGTGGGAAAAAATTGAAAAAAAGTAAAAAGGGAGTCGAGATATTGTACAAAAACAAGTTGAGGGGAGGGAATTCAACAGATTATCAATTAATCTTTGAAGCATTACTGTAGAGGGCATCAACGACTTCTCCCATAGCATGAATTGTGTCCAACGCTGTTTGATAAGCCTCATCAGGAGTGGCGATGTCAAAGACAATGAGCATACCCTCACCTTGGTCGAGCGACCCGGATAGCTTTTGGTCGAGAATCATTTGAGAAAGTTTTTTCTCCACCTGAAATCCGAAAAATTAATCATCTCAAATTTTACGATTTACTACGAACCTTGGATCGATCGATTCCGATTTGTTGAGCAACGTGATCAATCTGCACAAACGAATAAGGCTCAATAATACGACACAAATCTTTCTCAAGCATTCGTTCGCTTAACGAATGGAAATGTTTTCGAACGACTGGATCCATTTGCAATTCTTGTGGGAATGCGCCAAAGGCTGCTTGGAAATCTTTTAGAGATCGTTTTTGGGCGGCCGCTGCGATAGCTTTCATAGCTTCCAAATAGATCCACTGTACTTTAAGGCAAGTTTTGCGGACAGAAGACTGCTGACCTCGTCTGGTACGTCAAGCATAACCTAAAATGTGACAATAGTAAAATCAGATAAGCATTTCACACCTTGCACAGAAGCATGTACTTGAGAGCAGTAAGTGCAGCGCTCTTCTCATCGACTGAATCGTATCCTTCGAAAGCTTCATAGAAATACGAAAACGCAGTTTTGAAGTCCTTTTCGTCTGCTGCATGAAGAATTCCAGATTGAAGATCAAGAGCGGATTGCATTCGTGGATTCACATAGATAGCATTTGCAGTTGTACGAGCCCCAGTGAGAGAAGCACGAGCACGACCGATGTTAGCCAAGTTGTAATACGCTTTGCTCTCTTCGAGTTCCACTTCCACAAGCACATCTTTATCATCGACCTTTTTCAGCTCTCGAATTAAATCAGCAGCTATAAAATAATACTGAAATAGTGAGTCTCACAACTAAAATATTACCGAGTGGAAGTGCCTGGGTATGTCTCTGAAGATCGTTGTAGAGACGAACCAAACGAGCGGTTAGAGTTTGTCGAAGGAAAGTACGGTTTTGCTCAGTCGCCCATTGAATGCACTCTTTTACAAGCCCGACCTGAACAAACCAGCAAGATATGAAATTACAATCAAATTTGAAAGTTAGAACGTACTTTGATATCTCCATCCTGATCATCAATCTTGAGACACAAATCGACAAGATCGCGAACAAGTTTAGCAGCTTTCGCTTTTCCCAATGAGACTAAGAATGGTCTGGTTTGCTCAATCATTTTCCGCAATTCCTCAGTTTGCTTATTTTGAGCCAGAATGTTTCCGAGTTCCATGATAGAATCTTCCTTCTTCTTAATGTCATCATCTCCGGATGCTGGTGATTTGACTGGAAAATATATTTGTTTCACAGATACTTAGATATGCTAATCGATTGACAAACCAAGATTGGTGAGGTGTCGAATGACATTTTGATCATTTTGATGAGGAAGCGAAGTCATTGTATCCATGATGGTTCCTCCGGACATTTCAGATGCTGAAAATATGTATTTTGCGACAGAAAATCAAAACAATTAGAAATTCAGAATTAGAAACTCAATCGAAAACGGCCGAGATGCTTGAATTAAGATTTTGTCTAAACCTGTTCGAAAAAATAAGTGAAATCTCGATAAATTTCAGTATTCCGTTTAAGAAACCGTATAAATTTCGGAGCAACTCGGACTATTCAAATTGCTTAAGCGGAAAGAACAGCAAAACGATGACAATTCCCGCCGACATATTTCGCAGTGAGTTACGGTGTGCAATTGGTGTTTGCGGCCTTTGAAATGACGTAAAAATGCACACAACAACAAATAAAAAACCGTCTTCCTGCCTGTTTTCAAATGTCGACAATTTCAAGTTGTTAAAGACTTTATTGTCGGAATAAAAAAAGTGAGACTCGTGTTTGCGTACTTTGATTCACGCCTCCCCTCACCGACGCTCCGCCCATCGTTTTGCAAGTGCGGCGTGGTGTTTTGGCGCACCACTTGGAGATCATATTTTCTATGAAAATCTCATTAAATCCGATCTCACTTTTTTTATCCGACAATAACTTAGAGTACACAAAACTTTAATTAAAGCTGTAATACACAAAGCCACCTACAGGGTTATTCATGACATGAAAAATGTATTTTTGTGCTTTTTAAACCTACCGTATACACTCTAGTAGAGTGCCACCGAACGTTTGACTTTGAGCCTATATATCTCATTTCCTGCAAAAGATATGAAAAAGTGGTTCACTGACAAAATGTTTTCGATGTTATGATGAAAAGTTCTTCAGTTGACTGATATTTGATATCTTTCACAGGAAACGAGATATATGGGCTAAAATTTGATAGCTTGGATATTTAGCACTCTATTAGAGTGTATACAGGGTTTGTTTTTCTATCTTTGCAAGCTCGCTCTATTGATAAGGCGGCGGGGCGAAGCTTTTTCAAATTTTCAAAAAGAAAAAATTCTCCCCTAAAACTAGAGATCTTGACACTCCACCGATTCCGAGGAAAGCGTT